ATGGAGTAGGAGAAACTCCAGGGCTCCTTGGCACAGGCCCAGATATTCTTAATAGAGACCCAGAAACACAACAAATCAAAGAAAGGTTGGACAAATGGGATTGCATGAAGTTGCAGAGCTTCTGCATGGCAAAGTACATAGCTAGCAAGATCAATAGAAAGCCCACAGATTGGGAGAAGGTCACTAGCCATAAAATGGACAAGGGTCTCATATCTAAAATATACATGGAACTCAAAAAATTAAATCCCCCAACAACAAATCTTCAAAGAAACAACTGCCCAATAAATAAGTGGGCTAAAGACTTAAAGAGAAACTTCCCTGAAGAGGAAAGAAGGATGGCCAATAGACACATGAAGAAATGCTCAACTTCTCTAGCCATAAAAGAAATGCAAATCAAAACAACATTGAGATACCACCTCATCCCAGTTAGAATGGCAAAAATCAAGAACTCTAATAACAACAGATGCTGGAGGAGATGTGGACAGAAGGGAACCTTACTACATTGTTGGTGGGAGTGTAAACTTGTTCAACCACTTTGGAAAACAGTATGGAGGTTCCTCAAAAGACTCCACATAGAGCTCCCCTTATGACCCAGCAATCCCACTTTTGGGCATTTACCCAAATGATCACAAACAAGACCACACTAAAGCTACCAGCACAACTATATTTATTGCAGTATTATTTACCATAGCTAAGATATGGAACCAACCAAGATGCCCCTCAGTAGATGAATGGATCAAGAAAATGTGGTATATATACACAATGGAATTCTATGCCTCCATTAGAAAGAATGACATTTCCCCATTTGTTAGGAAATGGAAAGACTTGGAAAAAATTATATTAAGTGAAGTAAGCCAGGCCCAAAGAAACATAGGTCCCATGGTTTCCCTTATTTGCAATAACCTTTGTATGTCTGAGTCAAGCAGAAAAGGTCAGATAAGTTGATGTTAGGGAAATGAACCCCAAGATTAGTATTCAAATGTTTTTTTTCTTTCATGCAATTGTTTCTAACATATTTATAAGATGATTTCTTTGTTGCTTTGTATGTCCCTCCCTTACGGTATAACCTCTGCTTTCACTGTATTTGATGTTGGCATAATTTGTGGAGGGGAAGGGAAAAAACAAATTGTTTAAATAGGGATATAGGTGGACCCATTGCAACAATGAGATGTACAAGTCGTTATGTCAAAAACGAACTTTACAACTTTGGTGGGGGTGGGGAGGACGGGGGGCGTGGTGTGGGAAGGAATGGGAAGGGGAAACAAAGGAGGAGACAACAATGCTTGATAAAAAATGTACTCGTTATCTTGCCCATGTAATTGCAACCCCTCTGTATGGTATTTTCACAATAAAAAAAATAAAATAAAATAAGAAATATATCTAGTGATATTTCAAAATTTAAATAGTATTAAGAGAATAAAAAAGAGCTAAGAAAACTCACATTTATAGTTAAATTTTTAATTTTATCTAAGTAGCTGATAGAATACCAGAGCAAATATTTGTAAGCACATAGGAAACTGGCAAACACAAATATACCCCACAATTTTATACATCCATTTTTGTTTGTTTGTTGGCTGACTGGTTGACTGGTTGTTTCAGTCAGAGATTCACTATGTAGCTGGTCTTGACTTTGCAATTCTCCTTCCTCAACAGGAAATGTAGAACACTAGAACTGTCTTTGTGATATATATACTTTGGAGTTATATATAATATACCTTCCAGAACTTGCCGTCTGCTTGAACATCCACAAAGTATAAAAGAACTCCAAGCATTAAAATAAGAATATATTCTTCAACAATAGTGGAATGAAATGAGAAATTTATAGGAGAAACATAATCAGAAAAGACCCAATTGTGTAGAAATTAGGAACATATGTAAAATAGTTTTTTGATCAAAGAACATATCATGAGTAGTAGAACAAACTTTCAATAGTGATGAAAAAGTAATGTACTAAACTTGTGAATAAACAAATGAATGATTAGGAAAAATGTGAACATAAAAGCTCAGGCTGGATAGAAATAAAAAGTTGCAAGCAAATCATCTGAAGCCTAAAGTCAGATCCTAGATAATAGTGAAATGATTTCAAATCTGCAGAGAAAGATAGATGCAAATAAAAATCAATTAAATGCAAATTTAATGTACAGTGGAAGAAAAACATGACCTTGACTTCATTTACTGAAGTGACTAATAAGGTTGACAGAAATATTGACCAAAAAGGAGGGAAAGAGAAACTATAAACTATCAAAATGAGGACAGAAATAGAACATCTTTACAAAATATACAATAAAATGATTTTGTGAGAATTTGATAAATAAAATCCCCAAGACTGTCATCTTAGAAAAAGACAAATTCCTTGATAAATAATATTTAACCAATCTGACATGAAAAGAACCAGAAAATTTTACATCCTTGTATCTGTTGAATTTATCATTAAAAACCGTCTTACAATAAAACTAGGCTCACATAACTTCATGGTTGAATTCATCAGGACATGTAAAGAAAAAGAATAATGAATTACATGAATTCTTTAAGAAAACAGAAGGGCAAGAGACATTTCTTAATTATTTCATAACCTTGAGATAGAGAATGTGTTATCAAACCTCATATAGACATGATAAGGAAGAAAACTTAAAGCATAACTTCCTAAAACTATAGTATAATATCATAAATGTAGTGAAAATATTAACAGAAGTTTCTATATTAGCAAGATATGAATGTCAGCATAATCTGTAAAACTAATACAGCAAGAATATTTACAACAAACAGGTAGGAGTATCTCTAGGAATGAAATTTTGCCTTATCATTTTAATATTCATCAGTGAAATGCATTTCACTAGAATAAACAGAAAGAGTAAATGATAGTATTAGATGATTTAGAGAGATCACTTGGTAAAAGCTCACATGGGTCTCTGACTTGGGAGCTGGAGAATAAGAGAAGAATATGTTATATTGTTGCTTTCATGCAACATCGTTGTAGACAGCTTGGCTAATGCATTAAGAGACAAAAAGAAATAAAGGTCAAAATTATTGAAAAGGAAAAAGGAAAGATGTTATGAGGCATAGAAGTGATGTGAATAGAAATGTCTAAGCCAAAATAATCTCCATGCAAAGCATTAGTGGATTTAGCAAGAGATATAAAGATACCAAAATTGTTTTTCACACTGGCACAAATTAAAAGTCAAAATATTGGAACAAGAAAATGGATAGAATTGAAGATTGCAATGGTAAGGGAAATAGACCTAAACAGATAAAAATAACATGCTTCTTCTCATATGCAGAATCTAGATTCAAAAGAAAAGGACATGAAAGTCGAAAGTGCACTACTGGGTCAAAGGAGAACAAGTGGGAGAAAGGAGGAAAAGAAAGGATGATAGAGGTGGGTCAGTATGATCAGCATGCAGAGAATGAATGCATGGAGATGTTATCATGCAATACATAATTTTATACAGTTAATAAAAAATCCAAAAGACTGCATTGTCTGGGTAGTAAAGCAGATGGAATAGTTAGGAAAACACTTGCATATCTAAATACATATATAACTTAAAATTTTATATACATAAATCTATATCTCCAAATCTTACCATATAAAAAAGATATTTAAAATGGGTTCAAAAGACCTAACCATTAAAAGTAAATCAATAAAGATTCTAGATGAAAATATGACATAGTAGCTTCAGGACCTTTGAATAAATGATAGTCTCTTAAATATGCCACTACAAGTACAAATCATAAAGAAGTTATAAACTTGACTCTATTAAAATTAATAGCCTGTCAAAAATTTACACTATGATAAGTAAAAGACATTCACATACTAGAAGATACTTATAATAAATGTAAAAATAACTTTATGAAACAAAAAAGAGATACTACCAAACTAAAGAGTCAAAAGACCCAAACAAGTGTTTTCCATAAAACCTCGTCCAAATTGCCAGTAAGCATACCAAAAGATGTTTGTCATCTATATCCATAAATGAAATTCGAAACAAGGCTACACATGAGTTCATCCAACAGAAAATGACCAAAATAAAAATCTTAACAATGCCAAGTATTTGGAAAGACATTATTGGTCGACATGGAAATGGATACATTGGTTTTATAAAAATGGCAGTATCTACTGAAGCAAAATATGTGCCAATAGAGCCATAATTTTACCCCTAGAAGTGTATTCAAGATAAACTAGTGAATATCTAGTGAAAGACATATACAGGAATGTTCACAGTAGTTTTATCCATAGTTGCTAGATAACTGACAACAATCTGAAAGCCAATCAGCATAATAATGGATGGATTGATTGTGGTACATTCAAGTAACAAACATTTTAAGTATTTTACTGCAATTCTCATAACATAAATGGGTTTGATTTGGAATGGGAAAGAAATCAGACATAAAGCCACATGGTAAAAACAACCCAAATGTTATCAACAGAAAAATGAAGGAATGAATTACAGTATATATTCTTATATGGAAAAATTACACATCAACAGAAAGTGAAAGACAAACTACTATTACAAGCTCAATGTAAATGAATTTCAAATACATAAGTGAAGATAAATATGTGATTCCAAGGGCCAGCAAGAATAATTGAAGTGTTAGAAATGAAAGAAGTGCTTACTTTAGGGATCCTGGTTACTGACTAGGAAGAAACACACGGAAACAAAGTTTCTAAAGTTCTGCAAATAGGAAAACTCTTAAATTCTTTAGAGGTTGCAGAGATGTGTAAATATATAACAAATTTCAAGCTGTAAGCTGAGTATATTTCATGTACTTAATGCATGTATTATCCTCAGTATGTTTAAAAAAATTATTTGAAAATCTAGACTTACTTGAAATTTCCACAGGACTCTGCTATCATGTTTTTCCTTTCTTTCAAATCAGGTGGTACACAAGCATCATTCTTAAATCATGACTGCTATGGGTTCCATTTAAGGAAACCATCTGAATTGTTACAGCTATATTAAGGCATTATATACCTACAATTAAATTAAATAATCCAGACTTACTTGAAATTTCCACAGGCCTCCAATATCATCATTTCTCTCAAAGCAGGTGGGCTCCAAATCTTCATCTAAGCAGCACTTGATGGCACCTAGTCCACTAATTCCAGCCCCAATCACAGCAATCCGTTTCTTGGTCATAGTGCTTTAGCTGATTAGTAAAAATTAAGAGTTCTAATGTTACTTTGTGGCAAGGACCTAAAATTGGCTTTCATAAATCTTTAACATAAACTGTGATAGAGACAAAGGATGCAAAAATATACAGAAGTCAACTTTTTTTCTCCTCTCAAATACTCTTCATAGTGATGAAAGAAACTCAAACATAATTGCAGGTTACATGATAAATAAAATAACACCATTACACCGTGTGGAACATGGGCAGGCAGTACAGGTAAGGAATACCTGGCTTGGTCGGGAAAGTGACACAGGGGAAAGACTTACAGGTGTGAAATTCAGGTTAGCATAGAGGGAAAGTGGGAGAAAAACAAGGGAGGGGGTAACAATGTTTTACAAGAAGTGTACTCATCACCTTATGTACGTAACTATAACCCCGGTGCACATCACCTTGACAATAAAATTAAATTTTTTTTAAAAACCAGGAAGATGTGTGTGTATGTGTGTGCGTGCATGCGTGTGTGTGTGCGCGCGTGCATGCATGGATGCATGGGTGCATGCATACCTGCATGCATGCCTGTTGCCATTCTGGAAGGTGGAGACAATATGAATAAAGGTGGGCATAGGAGGAAGCAGTGTAGATGTGGAGAGCCAGAAGTTGTCTAGTAAGGCTAACTTCAGCAAGAACAACTGAAATGGTGCACTCTGTGCCAATGGTAAATTCTGTAGCAATGGTTTGTATCAAAGGTTATTTGTGATCTTTGACAGAGATTCAGAGCTAGGGTAGAGTAGAAGACATCTTACAGCAGTCTGAGGACACAATCAAGCCAGTGAAAGCACACACCATGATTGTCAATCACATTCTACATAAGCCTGAAAAAGTAAAATCCACAAATTGTTAGTTTTCTCTCTTTAATTGCCCAGTAAAAGCTACCTGAATTTGCTGGTTAATCTTCAAAACTTATTTATAGAATTATGACACATCGATGCTTAATGTCTCTGTGCCTTAGTTTTTACATCTTCATATTGACCCTTTTATTTATTGATATGTTCAACAAACACTTACTGGGCCAGGAATTGGGCTTGTGGTTGAAGTCACAAAAATGGATTTGACATAGTTCTTGACTTCAAGAGCTCATTCTAAAAGGGGAGATAAAGCTAAGCTAAAGACACCACATGGTGATTTAGAGGGTTAGAGCACATGCAAATAGTAATTTATTCTCTCTGAACTATCTATAGTGACTATGCACACATGTTCTTTTGTGATGAAAATGTCATCTTTTGAAAATACAGTTTCTACTTCAGAAATATCTTCCTTTTCCCACTGGTTACTTCCTGGTAAAGCTTTCCTTAAACTTCTCAAGTAGAGTTAAGCACACAGGCATTTTAATAAAGACTCCCAATTTGACCTCTTACAGTGTAGCTGCTCTGTATGTGAGATACAACAGTGAGTATTGGAATTCCCATATAACAGGACTACCATACACAGACTATATATCTCTGCTAATGCATTTAATATACTTTTATTAGTTATAATTCTAGTTTATATTGATTTCACCTATCAAGTACCTATCAAAACTTGAGATTCATTATGTGTCTTAGTCTGTGGATATCAGTGAGTTAATTAATTTATTAATAAGCTTCACTTGTTACTTGTTACCATGGCTGAAAAGCATTATACCATACAATTACAATCAAGTAAAATATATTAACAGCTATTCCATACTTTCTCCCCACAAAACAATATATAAGGAAAAGATAAGAGATCAAGCTTTAGAAAGATAGAATTTCAAGCTTACGTTCAGATGCTTAGTAAATGTAGTCTTGTTGTGTCTGGTTGTAAATAAAGCCAGGTTCCATAGAAGTCTTTTATATCTTGTTGAGTTAATTCATGTATAATCCCTTCCCATGACTATTCAAATTTGGATTAAAAAAATTGCCATGAGCCTTGTAGGTAATGGACCATGTCTAATGGTGACATTTGTCATTCTACACTGACACTGCTGTGCTCTGAACTTTAACACTAACTGGGACATTGAAACACCACTCACAGGAACCATATGGTTGCTGCTTATTAATAGATAATTTTGACCAGCATTTTGACCACCACAAATATTTTCACCATGTTAGATGGTTTTATACTATAAACATTGTAGACAATGAAATAGTGGTCAACTATTGTTTATAATTTAATCTTATGAAAAAATAAAAACAGGCTGTAAGTTACAAAGATAAATATGCCAAAAATAAGTTACAAAAATAAATCAGTCAATACTATAAATGACAGACTGCACCTAGTTTTGGTGAAATGAAGTATTTACTGAACTGGCAGTAGAAAAGTGGCCTTGCCATGCCCGCAAGCTCTGATACACTAAGAAATGTAAAACTGAACAGAAAAAGAGTCACGGAAGAAGTTCAATAGCTCTTCATGTAGATTATATTTTAATTTTACCAAATAGTGCAAAGCTTGTCATTTTGCCATTGAAATTGTGTAATTCAGGGACATCTTTCTGCTCAGTACTTGAGAAGTTACAAGATATAACATAAATGTATTCAACTCACTCAAACCATCATAGGAGAGTTCCTTGTTTCTCTGAAACATCTTTCATACTCTCAGTTTGGCTTTCTTTCTTCTAAAAAGATATATGGTCAATCTTTCTCTTTTCTGGGATGGATCATATCCCAGATTAATTTATAAATCATACTAAAGGTAGAGGATCTCTGGTCCTGTGGACTTTTCTTCAACTCCTGATGCTTATTTAAAGCAAATACTATCTCTGAGAGCAACTCTTTCTTCCTTGTGCTTAACAATACTATTTTGTATCTAGGAATGGGAGAAAAAAAGCAAGAAGAAAATATACAGTAATAAACTCCTGAACTGATAATCTTAACACATTATCTTGTTTCTGAACTATAAAATATAATAAAGGTGTGTGTGTGTGTGTGTGTGTGTGTGTGTGTGTGTGTGTGTGTTTGGGTTCTAAAGTCCTTGGTATGACAGAGAAATTAGTTTCTAATGTCTACAATTTGATGAATTTTTTTTCTCCTACATTCTCACCTGGATTAAGTTTAGCCTTTTGTGCTGATTCATAAAAGAAGTCATGGGAGGGGGAGGGGGAGGGAGATGGGAAGAGATGGGAAAGGGAAACAAAGGAGGAGGCAACAATGCTTGATAAGAAATGTACTCATTACCTTGCCCATGTAATTGTAACCCCTCTGTACGGTATTTTCACAATTTAAAAAAATTATTAAAAAAACAAAAAACATAAAAGAAGTCACCTGTTTATCTTTCTCCTTAGCATGTTGTTGTTATAAAGCATACGTTAAAGCATTATGTTGTAAGATGATACACAGAGGGGTTACAGTTACATTAGTCAGATGAGTGCATTTCTTTTGAACAGTGTTACCTCTTCACTTGTTTTCTGCCACTTTTTCCCTCTCTACCCTCCTCCTCCACAAATTGTATAGTTCATTTTCAACATAGTGTCTAGTGCATATCACTGCTACATTTGCTCACCCTTTGTTCCACTATTTCCGTGTTCCCCTTCCCCTTCCCAAAACATAAAAATTTACATAAAAGACAAAGGTACAGAAATCAAAAATAGTAACAAAGGAGAAAGCAAGAAAACAAGAGCAAAATAACAAAATTTCTTGTTTCCATTTCTTGGAGTTCATTTTGATAAACATCATTGTATATAATAGCATGCCCATAGCTATTGAGCCTTTCTGATCCTCTCCTAAGAATATCCTCTTTTGGTCTCACTGTGTGAATGTTTAGAGTCCTGTATAATTTAATTTATCATGTTGGATATAGTTGCAGACTTGTACGTGCTGTGGCTGTTTCCTAAATGCTGCATCTTGGGTGACTTAGCAGTGCAGAAATATGCTGAAGGGTTATACTAAAGAAAATAATCTATGACTGAAGAGTTTAATGTTAGTGTAAATGTTAAAAGGCTAACTCGATAAATGCAGATTTGCTTGAGAACTGTAACCACATCGGTTATGCTATTCTGACTTCTCTCCGCTCCCAGTTCACCACCATTCCCATGTGCAGAGTCCCCCATTGAGAAAATTCTCTGAGCTCATTTGTTTGGCCCTCTCTTAGATGCTATCATTGTGTCTGAGGTACATTTTATTTCCTTGTATTTTGTAGAAACTTGTCTCTTTATCTATCTACCTCTATTCTCATACTCTCTCTATGCATTATATGTTTATTTCCTCTCCTGGAAGATGAGATTCTGATGAATAAAACCTGTATTATTCATCTATACAATAAGGATAGAAGGTACAGAGTGACAATAAAAGAGAAAAAGATTACAAACAGTAATATTTCAGGATTGCTGCCTATATCTAAAGAGTGAACCAGTATTTAGTGGTGCAAAGCAAAGTATTCATAGGCATTATAGTTAAATTTCCCTATAAAATGACCATGATGTACTGCTTTATTTCTCCTTCTAGGAAATAAGCCACATTTAAGAGACTAGTTAAAGATAGATTCAAACATCAAAGCTGGCTTCAAGTCTTTATCCAGGATGGAATGATCCCATAACAAAAATCCTGTATATCTTCTCACTTGTCATTTATTCCAACTTTCGGTTCCCTTATATATTATTTACATCTTTCAAGATTCCCAATTAGTTATAATTTTTACTACTTTATAGCAAGTGATTTATTAGATTGACACATTTTTATTAGTGTGTTTAATGTGGTTGCATCTTATATTTCATTCCTTCTCTGTTAAATTTCCTTTATTTTGAAGATTGTACTTTAAAGTTCTTTTTAGTTAGGACATAATGGCAAATGTTTAATCATGGTTAAAAATGGCAAGCAACAAAAAGTAGAGTTTTATTTTCCTCAATTAAGTTAGTTTAGCTGGTTGAAGAACTTTTAATTTCAGCTTCGTTTTCCTCTCAAAAAAATATTTTTATTTTCTCTTCTTTCTTTCTGCTGTCAGTATAACTGTTGTTCCTTGCAGATAATTATTTTTCCTTTTGTGTATATTTAAGGTGTTGTCTTCACTCCAAACA